TTCAATTCTGGAATATATTTGGACGTCGAATACTGAACATTCAAAAAACGTCCAGGATTATATTTCCATTGAGACCATATCCCCACTTTTTTTACCGAACTGCAACTTACCACACACTATTTTATATTATTAATAATTTGTTTATTATTTTCGCAAACCGCTATACACCATTTTTTTTTTTATTTTTTTTTTATTAAAAATCACTTGACCTGAGCAGGCATTGAACTCACGACACATCCATTATCGTTTTACCCTTTCAATCGCTAGACGAGCTCGACCAAGGACCCACTTGAAAACTTTTTACTAGATACAGTTCTAATTGAATAAGATTTCAAACTTCCGCTGATAGAATGAAATGCAATAGATTCAATTTGCCAATTTTTAATGACCAGTTATATTAAAAAAAGAAGTATATATTATAGATGAGTATTATCTGGTAGGCTTAATAAATAATGACCTAAGATGGACGTCCACTGGACGTCAAAATACTACTAAACTTAGTCCAAAAACAGACATTCTCTGGGTATCAATATTCAGCTGTCAATTTAATTAGCATAAACGGACGTACACTGGATGCCCGGATATGGACGTGCTGACCCTCAAATAGATCTAAAGTGGACGTACATTGGACTATGTGTGCTGTCTGGGCATAGACGAATTTTTTGAAATAGTACTTATTTAAGTATGCACCAATATTTCCAAAATCAACTCCAGTATGATTCATTCAATAAATGTAAATATGAATGGGCAAAACATCTTTATATTGACATAATTGAACCTTACAATTTAGCCATAATAAAGGGATTTCGCCCATTTTGACCAATCCTAATTGAAACACGCGGATTTATTATATTTTTTTTAAATATAATTTCAAAATAAAATGAACAAAATCTCCAGTTCATTGTTTATTAAATTTATTTAAAAGAAGAAAACATATATTTCACAAAATGCAATACCTACATATGAAAAATAAAATGTCAAAAATGATTAAATCATTATACTTAATATTTATGCATGTGATAAAATTCTTAGTTTCCTAGTAACTTTTTTGGCACATTTTATATCTGCATTAGAATACCTAAGTGTGTAAAAATCTTCATCTTATTACTACACAAAACAAACACCAAAAAATATCACTTAACATTGCTCACGTACTAAACACAACTTGGACTGACTTTGACAGATAACATAATTTTGAGTGATACACAACTTATTTTCGCACATGCGCGTTACAAAACGGTACACTAAAAACACCAAGCTGTCGCTTCTCCTTGATCGTTATTCTCGGGTTCCATTGTTAGTAATAATAATCAAATACTTAATCTGTACACTAAAGATATTTGTATTTACTGTGATTTGACGTTAAGATTTTTTGTTAATAGATCATGATATTGCCAGGAAACCGAAAAAAAATATACATAAATACAGGGTGATCCATTTAACATATTTAAAATGTGTCTTATTAAAGTATAATCTAATTTAATTATTGATAAGACTGTAAGTCTGGGACCCACTTAATGTACCATTGATGAAATCAGATAGATCATACGAACTCGAAAAAAATATAAATACAGGGTGATCCATTTAAAATATTGCCCGATGACGTCATATCTTGAAAATGATTACGTATGCGGGAAATCTGTAAACGTCAATAAATAGTACATAAAATGTACAAAAACTTTTATTCAAGTCAAATTATCGTACAAGTCATAGTTAAGCCATAAATCAAGTGTTCCGCCCACATAGAATGACCCTGTATATGTTTTATGTTTGTCTTGCTTACATTTTGTTTATTTTTTATTATAATGTCCTGCGAGCCATTTACGACCACTCCGGCACAGATCTAATCCCTTGAGTCTATTTCTGCCTTATTTGGGCCTCTCACGGCCAAACTTGTTCGATTACCAAGAATATTCATAGAAATCAATCTACCTCTACTAAATTCCAAACCAAGTGTTCCTGGCGCGTTCCTTCCGGTTCTAGGCCGAAAAGAGTGAGACGTCGCCTAGTGCTACATACTGTTATTGACATGTTCCTATATTCATGTTCCTGTTAAACTTTTTTCAACTTATTGTAAGGTATATTTCCCGGTAGAAGGTAAATTGTTTGAAAGCAATTGTTCGAAATCAATTATTCGAAATCAGTTATTCGAAAGTCAATTATTCGAAAGTAAATTATTCGAAAGATAATTTATTCGAAAAGCAGTTATTCGAAAGTCAATTGTTCGAAATCTGTTATTCGAATTGAAATTTTTAAAATTACCAAATTTTCTAATAAATTCATTGTTAAAAAATAAAACAACAATACAGGTTTTAAGAGTTTAATTTTAAGTAGGTAGACATAAATATAAAATTATTAACTTAAATTATGCGCTGTCCCTCTAAGGTATTCTACAATTGTTGTTTCGTCAAAAGTTAATGGAGGTGCTCCTACTACGTACTGCTTCATTCTTAAATGGTTTAATGAATGTTCTCTTTTTACGTCGTCAATAAATTTCCAGATACTAGGATGGCTAGCTGATATCTGGCTTTCGAAGCTTATGTGCCAACCCTATACGGCGTTATTAGTTTTAGCTAACCCTGTGATAGCAGCATCGAAAGAGTTCCACATAATATGAGGAAATTTAGGGGTTCGTCGCTTCTCTCTTCTGTCTGGACGCCCTATCCTCGAAATAATCGATAACCGGTAAGGCTTCATCTGGAAGTAGACCTGTGTTCTGTAACTTGTTAAATGCATATTCAACAAATTCAACTGCTATGGCATTTAACATCCCTATATGCAGAGCAAATTCTGCGTCTGTATCATATCGGTTTTTTAAGCCGGTTGTTTGGATTTTTTATGCAGGCACTGACAGAAATAAAAGAAACATCCTCTTATTGTGGCTTCTGAAGAGGTTATGCATAATGCGTTTATCGCTGCCTTTTCAAAATCTATTAAAAGTGTAGTTGGTGCAGCTGTGTGACAAAGGTTCTTGATCTCTTGTATCACTTTTACGTATACAGTAGCGGAGTGGCGTAATTTTCTTTCAATCCGTGTAAACAGATGGGGTACTGTTTTAAAAGTTCCGTCCATAAACCACTGATCTGACTTTTCCAGAATACTAAGAGACGTTTGTGTTCCAAAAATTAAAATTCTGGAATCGGTGGCTCCAGAGTCGAATTAAAGAAAAACTTCTCCGTTGGTGGTTTGTTGGTGAGTGTCTGGAATAATAATATCCCGTCTGGATTGTGGAATAGCTTGTGCGCCGTCGTTTCTCTGCCTGATTACATAGGAAACAGATAAAATGCTTTTAATTAATAATTGAACAATTTAAATTATTAAGTGAATAGTTTTATAGAGACCAAAATTAATAGGAAAAGAAAAAGTCTATGTAACACATTTAAAACATGTGATTCTTGTGTTTTCATGTTGAGGTTATGTTTCAAATTTGACATTTTAATTGGAAATTCTTGTACAAAATATATATTTTCAACAATATATCGGTATAAAAGCTTACCTTATAAAATCAGACGGTCATTAAGAATATTAATAGACAATTAGTACATCGGATGTCCAAGATAAAAGATAATTAAAAATTCAATAAATCAACTTGCTTGTTGACAGAGATGAATCGAAATGATAATCCAACTTTTGACATAAGGCATAAACGACAAATGACATTTGTGTAGAGATGTTGGTATCAAAATAACGAAAACGGTTCCGACCGTTACAATGTTTGGGTCTAAATAACGAAAACGGTTTCAACCGTTACAGTTTCGAATGGTCCTTTTTATGTTATTGATATCTAGCAAACGTCCTGCTGAATAACTACTCACTGCTGGTGAGTGAGAAGAAATTACGTATTGGGGCGTATCTTGTGTAGTTTTAGCACAGGCCCTTACTTTGTCTAAAAATTTGGTGACCTCAAGTCGGGCAGCGTCTCCACTATGATTGTGTTCTCCGGGTCCTTTTTGAATACCATCTCGGTCAGTTATAACTCGTGCATTTTTACACTGAAACAATACCAAAGCGAAACAGATACTACTGCAAAAAAAGTGTTGTCTTTCATTTATAGTAATTTAAACAGACGTTATTAGTACCTATTTTTAAAACATCCTTATTAGGGCACTTTATTAATACTCATTTTCTATAATATCCTTAATACTGTTAATTGTTTTTAGTGGCTAGACCGTAAGTCTGGGCTGATATTGTTTACAATTGATTTGAATTTTTGAATAGAAATTATTTTTCAAAACACCCTTATTAGGGCACCAATATTGACCTGATTACTGGGAATACTTATAGTAATTAATATGTGTCATTACCTTATAGTAATTTTCAACAATTATTGTCTTTCGAATAAATGCTATTCGAATAAATGCTATTCGAATAATTGATTTCTAACAATTGACTTTCGAATAAATGCTATTCGAATAATTTTACTTTCGAATAATTAATCTTTCGAATAATTGATCTTTCGAATAATTGATTTCGAACAATTGCTTTCGAACAATTTACCTAGACCCATATTTCCCGTGTTGAAAATTTTGTACCTTTTTGATCAAACCTAGGAAGACCAGAAACCATTATTTTTTCACGTGAACCTGAGAATAATTTACGCGAAACCGCTTTCACTGTACCCGTAGCCTAAGCATCCAGTTGAATGTATTAGGCCTATTTCTTCACGAACAGTAATATAATAACAATATTTCCATTATGAAACCTGATAAACATGAGTAACATTTTAAATATTGCAGTTCTTTTAAGAAGAGAACATAAAGAGAGTAAAGTTACATGAATTTTTTTCATAAACAATATGAACAATGATTATACACAATGATTATACTAATGATAAAAAAATGATTTTTTATTGAAATCTAAAAATAAATAAAGCGTGTGTGGTGAGATAAAACAAGAATGAGATTAATAACACACTTTACATCTGTTGCATTTTTTTATACCATAACTGAAATGTTTTCGAGTAATACTAATTTAACACTAAGTACATATATAATTTCTAGATCAAATAGTATACAAGGCATCGTGAAAAAGTCTAAACCACAATATTATTTTTAATAATATTGTGTCCATCTACAGAAAAGTATAAATGATATTAAAATGGATGATAGCAAAGTGGAACATAACCCTAATCCAAGGGATAAGGCTAATATATTCTCCATACTGTTTTTCGGGTAAGTATAACTAATCTATTTTTCACCTAAATATTCTTGTTGTTGTAGGTACAGTTTGTCTTATTGTTTTATTTGTTCATCTAGCCCACTTTGACTTGCAAACGATTTTTCCTAAAATCGTCATTTCAAAGGTTGACTAGTTTTTTCAATGCTTTTTTCTTATATTACCTACCGAAGAATTGCAAGCATAGGCTGTTAGAATTGGATTCACTATGGCATTATTGACTTTTAATTTTATTTCATTATAGTTTTCTATTTTACCTAACTGTCATTTTCATCTTTCATTATTTTATATTTTCATACTTCATCTTCCATACCCCATCTTTCATACTCCATCTTCCATATTCCATCTTTCATACTCCATCTTTTATACTTCATACGTCATTATAATAATACTAATTTTATTTAATAGTCCTTTAAGACATTTATAATGTATAGGATAAATTAAGATAATACTAAGACATAATATGAGACATAATACCAAGAAAAACAAGTATATAACACATGAATAAAAACCTTTTAAAATAGTACCAACTATCTAAAAATTGATTAAAATTTGTGGCTGTTTAAATTATATATTACATTTCTTGCAAGAATTCGTCTACACTCTAGTAATATTGTGATTAGCAGTTCTTTGACAGCTTTTTTGAACAATTTATGGACTTTATTATCAGCGGTATATTATTACACATTTTTATTCCCTGATAAGTTACGCACATTTTATATATTTTTTCTACGCCCATGTCAGTAAATTCCTTGTAAATGACATGACATGCACGTAATGAGATCTCATAACATACACGTGCGTTTTGATACGAAAACTTAAATTTCTTAGTTTAATCAAATTGCAATCAAATTTTAATCTACGTGGGACTTTATTTGGTTTATTTACATAAATTTAGTCAATTTAAAAACATAAACTTTTAGCATTAGCGAGATATATTTTGGATTAAAAAATGATGCTCCTAAATATTGGCCACACATTATACAATTTTTTGTTTTATGCATAGAACCGCTGAATTAATCACCCTTACACGTTTGGTAATTGTGATCTTTCATGATTCACCTTTCATACTTTATCTTTCATACTTCATCTTTCATACCTCATCTTTTATACTTCATCTTTTATACTTCATCTTTCATACTTCATACTTCATTTTCATACTTCATCTTTCATACTTTCAATTTCTCTCAATTTCTATGTTTCTGTTAAACTTTTCCCTTTTATTAGTTATACCTAACTTCCACTTTCATCTTTTGTATTTTTTATACCCAAATTTTAACTAGTTCTTTGCATTTTACAGATACACATTTCCAATTTTTAAAAAAGGTATGAAAAAAGATTTTGATGTCGAAGATTTATATAATCCTCTCAAAGGCGATAGAAGCACAGAATTAGGAGACATGCTGGAAAGGTAAGATACTTTTGCTCCTGTAAACACGTAATTTTAACTTGATTTATTTTCAGAAACTGGGAAAAGCAAAAAACGAGAAAGGCAAAAAATAAAAAACCGAGACTATTGGTAGCTATATGGAATACCTACTGGATAGAATATTTACGATTAGGCATCTTAACTTTATTTGGGGATGTTATAATTAGAATTAGTCAACCTTATATTCTTGGGTTGCTTCTGAATTATTACAATCCCAAATCTACAACTACCAAGGAGCAGGCTCTAGAATACGCAGGATTAATAGTAGTTTTAAATACTATATCATCATTCATTAGGAATCAATTTAATATGAATTCGATGCATGCTGGTATGAGAGCTAGGGCTTCAGTTTCATCTTTGATATACCGAAAAGTAAGTAGTTTTGACATTTGTATCTGTAAGGTGATGAAGATTGGTTGCCTTTCAGCACTTTGGTTTGACTAAGCACATTGTGTGTCCTCCTGAATTAATAGCCTCTCTTAGTTCGTCAACCAGTCTACAAAATTAATGTAATTGATGTCGCCAGAAGTGCCTCATTTATATTGGCCGGTGTTAGCAAATACTCGTCAAATACAAATCTAGTTGATAAAACCATCGTGCAATTAGATTAAATTTAATTAGGACTGTGGGCCACCTCGACCTTTTCACATCTATTGTGGATATCCTTGAATCGTCTAATTCGGTCTTTTGTAGTAGACTCCACAGACTGGAAAGTAGTTCTTCAGTATAGCTAGTTGTCCTTGGTTTTTCTTCTCCAAGTGTTAGAAATCTCAGTCTTGCTAGACCTTTGCAGTAGCACAATACGTGTACTGCCGTTTTCTATCTTCCTGACAAAATCGGCAAAAGGTCTCTTCTGTCAGACCGATATTATACATATGTTTGTTAAGCCTACAATGCCCTGTTAATAGACCTACTAGTACTCTAGTAGTTTTCCTATTAAGGCTTAGTAGATGCTCAGTGAGTTTAGGCGTTGGTCCTTTTAATAACTCTTTGGCCTGTCTCTGTCCTGGAGAGTTTTTGAAACATCCACTGCTTTGTGCATGTTCCGATAGTTGTTTTTGTTACACCACAGAAGAGTTCTGGGCCAATAAGAGCATTTGAGGCTCCTTCTCGGGCTAGTAAATCAGCTTCTTCATTGCCCTTATGTCCTCTGTGACCTGGTACCCAGGCTAAGGTTAGTCTGTTTTGACTACCCATCTCTGTTAGGGCTTCCAAACAGTCCCACACAAGCTTTGAGTGTACCTGCATGGAACTGAGTGCCTTTAACGTCGCTTGACTGTCTGAGTATATGACAATGATTTTTCCATTTACCTTGTCTTAATACCTCTTTTGCGTAGTGATGTATTGCAGCTATTTCTGCCTGGAATACTGTCGCATGTTTACCTAAGCTAAGTGAGATTCTTGTCTTTGGCTTGACACTATATATACCTACTCCTGAACATTCATGGGTTTTGGAGCTGTCTGTATACAAGGTGAATTCTGCATGAATAGGAGGTCCTCCCGTCCACGATTTCCTATCTGGTATACTTACTTACTTACTTACTTACTTACTCGTCCAATAATAGGGTATGTGTTTGATAGACTATACTTTTTGTTTGCGTATCTTGCAGACTACGGGGTCTGACAGCGCCATACTTTTGAGGTGCTTCTGTACTTGGCAATGATCTGTCGAAATATAAGTGACCATTCCCAGATTCTGTCAAGTCATCGTTAAGTATCTGTAGTAGTATTCTGGGCAACTTAGAAGCTCCCTTAGGTTTGCCACGACAGACGTTGATGAAAGGGCCAGATCCAAAAAGTATTTTGTTGGCTAATGAATCGGCAAGATGGTTACCTCTCTATATATCGTGACCTTTGATCCATCTTAAGGTGATCACGTTATTGATGGATATTTCAGCCAAAGCTTTGTGATCTGTCCAGGGCGGAAAGTGCTTGTCTGCTTCCTGTAAAGATGATCATACTCCTTTCAGTGATATTGTTGCTGGTAATTACTTTTTCTCCCATTAGATTCTCCGTGAAGTCATTTTGAACTACACTGGCTATTGCTCACGATCCATTTTAAGTTTGGGTTTAAGGATCTAGAGAATATTCCACATTCTGAGCCTTACTTTGTTTTAGAATCATCGGTGTAGATGTGACTAGTAACTGCCACGTCCTGCACTTCTATATTTTTAGTTAAATTTGTAGGGAAAAGATATACCGTGGTGAGATATATGTTCGAGTTTTGGCATATTATTAGTTCTTTTGGTTCTAATATGATTAGTTTAGGTATGGAAAAATGACAAAACCAGTTATATTTTTCAATTATTTGAACAAAATATAAAAAACAAAATATGGCCTTATGAAAGATCTATGTTTAAAACACCAATTTTTCTAGGCTTTGAAGCTCAGCAAAACAGCCATTGGAAAAAATTCGGTCGGAAAGATAGTGAATCTCTTATCCAATGATGTAAACAGGTTTGATTCGGCATCTACTTTGATCCATCAATTATGGGTGGGACCTATTTCAGCAATAATCATTATGTATATTATTTTCCAAGATGTCGGCTGGTCCGGAGCATCAGGAGTGATAACCATATTTTTAATGATGCCCCCGCAAAGTAAGTAGGAACGGTGGCTTATATTTTTCGTTTACCAAATTAACCATTTTCTTTTTTAGTTTATATCGGTAAACTCTCTGCCAAATACCGGAGGAAGACAGCGGTCAAAACTGACGAAAGAATTAGACTGATGGACGAGGTTATTGGTGGCATTCAAGTTATAAAAATGTATGCGTGGGAAAAACCCTTTACTAAACTAGTAGGATTGGCCAGGAAAGCAGAAGTACAAATAATCAAAAGAGGACAATACGTTCGGGGAGTGTTCATGGCCTTCAATTTGTTTAATAATAGATTTGCCCTTTTCGCCACTTTGGCTATGATGGTATTTACTGACAAGGCTGTTACAGCAGCAAGGGTAAATCCACAGTATTTGTTTTAAATTTCTAAATAAGCAGGGCTACATACTAACGTACCTAACGTTTCAACGCTTTACTTACTTATTCTAACAATTTTGAATTTTCTAACAGAAACACGAGAATTATCTTTAATAACCAAAGGTTTTCTATGAGCACTCTGATTTCTTAAACTAGTCTTTATTTTTTAGGTATATGTCTTCATGTCTTACTACCAAATTTTAGCTGGAAGCTTAGCAATGGTCTTTGTTAATGGAATCACTCAATTCGCGGAACTTTTAGTTTCGGTAAACAGAATTCAAGAATTTCTGGAAAACGAAGAACATCAGCAACTTCCGGCGATACGGAGATCTATTAGCTCGAATATGTCAGATAATAAGGTTGTTTTGAAAAATGTAACGGCGGCTTACGATAGAAATTTAGGCGAACCAACTTTGAAAAAAATTAACATTAAAGTAGAAAAAAATTGTTTGCTGGGTATTATTGGACCAGTGGGAAGTGGAAAGAGCTCTTTACTCCAAACCATTTTAGGTAATTGCTAATTATCTTTCCTAATTAGCCTTGCAAATTATCTTTGCTAATTATCCATATTAATTAGCATTCTTAATTATCCTTGCTAATTATCCTACCTAATTATCAATGATAATGTCGTGCGAGCCTTTTTTAACCAGTCCGGCACTGACTTTGTTTATCTTATCGCCATTCAAGCCGCCTTGACTGTGTTCCGCTGCTACTACTCATCGGGATTCGAGAAATTACTGGATGTTTATTTATAGAGGAAGGGCTCCGAAAACGTCCATATCATCGAGATTCTTTGAGACAGGACTGGATTTTTTTAGGGCGTAACTTGTTTGTATATGAATGGATTATTCTGCCGTTTGAGTTAGTTTAGAAATAAATATTGTTGAGTAAAGATAAATTGTTAAAGGAAATGCAAATCAGTGTAGTTTTGAGTGCAAATAAATTAGTTATAAAATAAGTTGGGGTATTTAGTGAATATAAATTAGAATAATTAAACTGTTTAAAATAAATAAAACGCCACATTGGTGTTACATGTGTGGTAAATAAACGATGCATAAAAATGGCTCGCTCGACAATATTTTCTTGTTAAATTTTCTTTGCTACTTTGTTCTCGCTAAAGTTTCCTTGCCAAAGTTTTCTTACTAAATGTTTCTTGCTATTTTTTTTGCTACTTATTTGCTAATTTTGCTTGCTAATTATGCATGCGAATTATACGTACTAATTATACTTACTAATTGTATATTCTGTAACTCTATTAATACCGTGAACCACACACGTTACAAGGATAAGGTGCTCATAAATTTTTTTTAAATTTTGTGCCACTTTAATCATATAAGGGGCAGCGTCCGACAATAAAAGTATAAATTTACTAGAAGGACAAGATCTGGTAAAAAAAGTTAGTTAGTGAATCCTGTACAAATCTAATCACAGTTAAATTGTTTGTTTTTTCAAGGTGTTTGGATGATATGAAGTGTGCTTTCCCTGGTTTATCTTCATGTAGAACTCCAATTATTAAATGTGCAATACATCTTCTACAAGAATCGGTGGTTTCATCAATTGCAATATAAAAGTTGTTTTCAGATATAATATTTTTTATACACACCATTGTGTCTTTACATATACAATCGACATTCTTTTTTTTTTAGTGTAGATTCATCTGGTACATTGAACTTGCAATAATTCTGCAAAAATGACTTTAAATTTACATTATATAAGGGTATATCTGCTGAAATCATTGCTTTGCATAAATATTCGTTAAACTGCATTTGGTTGTTTTTCTGCGAACTTTGTTGAACAGAATTTTTTAAAGTTTGCTGTGGTCTTGCGCCTTCTTGCAATTTTCGCAATGCTGCAATGTGTTTTGATGTTTTTACATGTTGTTCCACGATGGACTTTTTGTCTGCTTGGATCTTAACCAACAGAGAAAGGCAAGTTAAATGGTTTGCTTGTTAGGACATGCCATGAGAAATTAAATATATGTAGCAATTTTTGAACAAGAAATATTTAGGCATTTAAATTAAATGGAAATTAAATTGGTAGGTGAAGAGTATATGTATAATAGGTACTTACAATTTTTGAGCACGCTGTGCAAAATACATTGCCGCCGTCCCATGAAAGCTCTGGAAGCATCTTTATCCACAATTGTTTAAATTTCAATTTTGGCATTTTCTCCAGATCGGGCCCCGCGACATTTTTATAAAAAATTAAATAACAAAAGGTCTTCAAGCAAAAATTTCTTCTCCTCTACTTGAATCTCTCTCCCTCGTCTGTCGAACACTTCTGAAAGTAACAAACACCACCGTTGCCGGGCCCCCCTTATACCGCTGCCGGGCCCCCATTTGAGCCCGGGCCCTGGGAATTGGTTCCGGCTGCCCCCCCCCTCTAGTCGGCCCTGAATACAGAACAACCTAAGGCCGAAAAAGACACGAAATGAACTTCGGCTTTTCAACATCTTGAAATCTAAATTATTCTATACCCACTTATCTCCCCTACACAGAGCTTACATGTTTTTCCAATCAAATTGTCAAATCATTTGTAATGTCCTACGGGCCAGGTTAAATAGGGGATTAATCTCTAACTATAGGCAATAAAAATAAACTTGGAAGTGAACTGTTGGGATTGAAAATAGAAATTTAACATTTCTGAATTTACGAAAAAAAAAAATGTCAAATGGCTGTGGAAAATTTGAAAAATGCAACATTTCTTAATTTGTGGAAAAAATGCAAAAAATGCAAAAAATGCAAAAAATTCAAAAAATGCAAAAATGCAAAAAATGTAAAAAATGCAAAAAAATTCAAAAAATGCATGCATTTTCCCGGTCCTTGCTTATTATCTGTGCTTATTAATCTTGTTAATTATCCTTGCCTAATTATCCTTCCTAATTATACTTGCTTACAATTTTCTCTAATAAACTTTTTTAATTATCGTTGTTTTTCCAGGAGAACTCGATATTCTCGAAGGAGAATTTTAGGTAATTGTTAATTATCCTTGCTTATTAATCTTGCAAATTATTCTTATAAATTATCCTTGCTAGTTACCCTTGCTAAATATCCTTGCTAATTATCCTCGCTAATTATCATAACTAATTAACAATTCCAATTATTCTTGCTAAATGCTCTTTGCCAAATTTTCTTCGCTAAATATTCTTGCTAATTATCCTTGCTAATTATCCTAACTAATTACTAATTCCAATTAATCTGGCTAAACGTTCTTTGCTAATTTTTTCTCGCTAAATTTTCCTAAATTTTAATCACTATTTTTGCTAATTAAATTAAATTATAAAATGGTAATTTTTCTATTAAATAGTTATATTTATTATAGTATGTCAATTTGTCAATCAAACAGGTATTATTGATTATACTTGCTAATTATCCCTGATAATTTTTATGTTTCATTGCTAAATTTTCTTCACTAATTAACCTTGATAATTATCATTGCAAATTGCTAAATATCCTTTATCATTACTAAGTATTCTTACCAATTAGCCTTGATAATTATTGATGCTTATTGCCTATACTAATTAATTGTCTATGCCAAATAGTAATGCTAATTATTTACGCTAATTGTCTATGCTAATAATCTATGCCTAATAGCTCTGCTAATTATCCATTCTTATTATCTATGCTAATTATCTATTCTAATTATCTATGCTAATTATCTAAACTAATTATTATACTTAATTATCCATGGTAATTATCCTTACTAATTATGCTTGCTAATAATTTTTGCTAATCAACCTTTTTCATTATTCTTGTTTTTCCAGGGGAACTCGATATTATTGAAGGAGAGGTTGTTGTAAATGGTACGATATCGTATGCTTCCCAAGAACCATGGATATTTTCAGCCAGTATCAGACAAAACATACTGTTCGGCTCAGAATACGACAAAAAACGATACGATGAAGTCATACGCGTTTGCGAGCTCCAAAAAGATCTGGACCAATTTCCTGATGCAGATTTTGCTCTAATAGGAGAAAACGGTGCTAATCTCAGTGGCGGACAGAAGGCTAGAGTAAATTTAGCTAGGGCAATATACAAGGAGGCTGATATTTATCTATTGGACGATCCGCTTTCTGCGGTAGACATTATGGTGTCAAAAGTTTTATATGAGGACTGCATTAATGGATTTTTATCTAAAAAAGCTAGAATATTGATCACTCATCAAGTTCATTACCTGACATCAGCTGATCATGTTCTTGTGTTTAATGATGTAAGTATCTTAATCAAAAATTTCTTGAGTAAATATTATTTTGTAAAATCGTTTTAGGGAAGTATAGAAATTGAAGGTCGTTATTCAGATTTAGTCAAAAGTGATAACCACTTAACCATACATCTAACTGAAGAAGCTGACGAGGTCCTTAAGCGCCAATTATCGCTTTCTGAAGCTTCTTTAGAAGAGGTCGAGGCAAAAGTTAGTGTTAAGGAACACCCCCAAGCAAACGGAAAATTTAGAGATATATCCAAAGCTATGCAAGAAAAGACTTCAAAAGGAACCGTCAAAGGTTCTTTATTACTTCAGTATTTCCAGTCTGGTTTGAATATATTCCAAATAGTGTTCTTAATTACTATGCTTGGAATAGCTCAGAGTTCAGCTTCTGTGAATGATTGGTTTATAAGTTTTTGGACAAATGTTGAAGAGAGTAGAGTTAATACAATCCTTGAAGTTGATACCAATTTTTTCAACACAACTGCTCCTAATGGTACTACTCTAGAAGATCAGACATTTTCTAAAGCGGCTTCTATAATGTCTAATTTAACATTGAACGATCAACCATGGTACATGACTTATAGCAGTAACAGCTATCTCATCTTCTACGCAGCAATTTTGGCATTCTGTTTAGTCAGCACGATGACTAGATCAATTTTATATTACAAATTCGTCATGAAATGCGCTGTGTCGTTACATGCTATGCTTTACCAAGGAGTCACGAGTACTTATATGAAATTTTTCGATCAAAATCCTAGCGGAAGAATTTTGAATAGGTTCTCTAAGGATATTGGTACTGTGGATGAAGTTTTACCTATGATGCTGTTTGCTTCGTCAAGGGTAAGAAAATAATAATTTGTCTATTAAATATACAGCCCAAATAATCAATTTTCTGAGGGTGATATTGGAAACTTTTTACATATTTCCGTTATTTATTTATGGGTTTGAGATTTTTTATTAATATTTTGTTGTAGACACTTCTTGGGATGGTTGGTCATTTGGCTCTGGTACTCTACGTCAATCCGTACACATTGATAATAGTTATAATATTGGGTGTACTTTTTTCGTTTATTCGTGACATTTATTTAAGATCTTCTAATAATATCAAGAGACTCGAGGGACGAAGTAAGTATTAAAATTTCATCGAAATTACTATAAGATATTAGTTATTTTAGCTACCATTTCAGTAATATAATTTTTTTATTTTAGTGAAAAGCCCAGTGTTTAATCATCTAACAGCATCTTTACAAGGTTTAACGACAATAAGAGCTTTTAAAGCCGAAGAGATTCTTAAAGTTGAATTTGACAAGCATCAAGATTATCACACGAGCGCTTGGTTCATGTTTATCAGCACAAATTCTGCGTTTGGATTTGCGCTTGATTTCATTTGTTTGATGTTTATAGGATCGATTACATTCAGCTTAATTTTGCTAGGGGACTGTAAGTATATTCTATCCAGAAGGTCTACGTCATAGCAATGGCGGCTCCAAGACGAATTTTCGGGGGCGCCATTGCCTTTAGCCATTCCCTATTTAACATACATATTTAATAAAAGGCCTATAAATTGTAAGAATTTTCATCTCGGGGAGGAGCATGGCCCCCATAGCCCCCCCTGAAACCGCCCTTGCGTCATAGAAGACCTCGTACATAATTTAGACATTGTGGACTATTTCTGTTTGTTTTTCTTGAATTGCATGGCTCTACCATTAGGTAGGTCGAGTACATATCTTTAAATATATTATGTGTACTGTTTAAAATTTTAATTGAAAAACTATATTTTAATTTTAGAAAACTCAAATAAAATTCTATTTTAATAGACAGAGAAACAAAGTTCTTTATTCAAATATTTATAAGAATAAAAAAATTAAGAATTGAATATAAATAAAAACAAAAAAGAAAAAAGACAAATTAAATTATTAAAGAAAGCCTAATATGGCAAAACAAAAATAAATCAATAATGGATTAAAAAAGAATAAAGAAATTAATAAAAAATAAAACAAAAAAATTGAAATAAAAATAAAAAATAAACCGTAGAAATGTAAAAGAAATTAAAATTTTAACTTCTAAATCAGTTTTGTCTTCTTCTCAATTTATTTGAATACGAAATGGTTCAATGTTTTCCAAAATGTGGCGTATAGGTCTTTGAAGTATATTGCCTCTTTGTTACTATTAGCACCGTACATAAACAAAGAATAGTAAATCCACTCTCCCAATCGCCTTTGAAGCTTTTTGCATACAAGCTTGCCGCCGTTTTTGTCTCTTCACACACATTCCCGGGCATACAGGTGTATCAAGCAGCGAGCGGAGGCTGATTGCATGCTCTTTCGACTGGCGGCGTTGGACTGGTCTGTGTACAGAGAGTGAATTTACTATTTGTTTATGTACGGTGCTATTAGCAAGAACACCTGGTATTGTTAAAGAAAATTAATTTAAATATATTCTATTTTTTTTTATAGATTTTGGCTTAACAGGAGGTGACGTTGGTCTGGCAATTAACCAAGCCACTGCTCTAACGAATAGCATTCAATTCCTTGTACGTTTCTCTGCAAGTATTTCTAATCAGCTCATGTCAGTTGAAAGAATTTTGGAATACAAAGGATTGCCACCTGAAATGCAGCCAGACAAACCCGTAATTACCGACAAGAGTTGGCCAAATCAAGGTCAAATTAGTATTAAGAATGTGGTTATGAAGTATAATGATGACGGACCAGTTATTTTGAAAGATATATCTGTTAATATCAAGCCAAAAGAAAAGGTAAATATATTTATCTAAAATTATTTTAAAACAATGTAAAATTTTGATAAATATTTTATTTAATATTATTTATATAAATTAATATTAATAATATAATTAATATTATATTATAAATATTATTAATATTATAAAATTAAATTGTTTACAGATTGGTATCGTCGGTAGAACAGGGGCAGGAAAATCTTCACTTATAGCAGCTATATTTAGACTAGCCACGCTAGAAGGAAAAATTCAAATCGACGGCATCGACACCAAAGATATAACCTTAGAAAAACTGCGTTCGAAAGTCTCTATAATTCCGCAAGACCCAATCCTGTTTTCCGGAACCCTTAGGTACAATCTTGATCCATTCGATGAATACAACGACGAAGTATTGTACAGGGCGATAAACGAAGTTGAACTCAGAGACCCAAATAATATTATAAATAGACTAGAAAATAGAGTTATGGACAGAGGTTCGAACTACAGTGTCGGACAAAGACAGTTAATCTGTTTGGCGAGAGCCATAATTAGAAATAATAAAATTTTGGTTTTGGATGAAGCTACTGCCAATGTGGATCCTCAGTAAGTAAACAAATATTTCATTAATAAATCGACCAATAATATCAATATTTAAATTTGGATTATTTTTATTATTTGTGATGGCTAAAAGGCAGGATTATTTTAAGTGGTCTTCTCCAAAGCAAAGTTTGGATCAACTATTTTTCCAGTATTCTTCTTATTTCTTCTCCGTCTGCTTGATGTCTTTTTACCTTTTTAATCTTCAGACTCGAGATTTCGAGTTCTTTTCTGTTACCCAATATTTTCAATATATTTCTATTTCTTAAGCTAGAATCATGTCTTTTGATAATTAATTCCATTTTTATATTTTCTTGATTTTTTCCATCAATGTTTTTCTTGTCCCTCTCTATTAGATTCCTTGCTTTCAATATGTTCTTTATGGGTTTCATCCTTGTCCATTATCTCTATTCTAATTTTACATTGTTGTTCCCACTATTTTTATCAAATGCGATAAACCAGGATATAAAATACAATTATTAGCCAGAAGTTAATGCTATACTGCTTATATGTACTTTTTTTTTCCAGAACTGACGCTTTAATCCAAAAAACTATACAGGATAAGTTTGCAGAATGCACTGTTCTAACAGTGGCTCATCGCCTCCACACCATCATAGAATCTGATAAAATTTTAGTATTAGACAACGGTGAAATTATAGAATTTGATCATCCTCATTTACTACTACAAAACGAAAAAAGCATTTTCCGTCAGATGGTCGAAGAAACTGGTCAGAACACGTTGAGACTGTTTGAAGAGACGTGTAGTGTTAATTATCAGAAATTACAAATTTAACTCAATACTTAATTTATTATATATATTATTTTTTATTGAATGTGATATTTGAATTTTGTAATCGTTTTATTCGAAATAAAAGTTATTTTTGTTTTGGGTTATTTCTTTGATGTCCAATAGGTCCTGTAGAATAATTTGAGTAGAAAGAATCCTTTGGTATCTGTGGAATAGAGAATAGAAAATAGTGGATAAGGAATAAAGAATAGAGAATAGAGAATAGAGAATAGAGAATAGAGAATAGAGAATAGAGAATAGAGAATAGAGAATAGAGAATAGAGAATAGAGAATAGAGAATAGAGAATAGAGAATAGAGAATAGAGAATAGAGAATAGAGAATAGAGAATAGAGAATAGAGAATAGAGAATAGAGAATAGAGAATAGAGAATAGAGAATAGAGAATAGAGAATAGAGAATAGAGAATAGAGAATAGAGAATAGAGAATAGAGAATAGAGAATAGAGAATAGAGAGATAGAGAATAGAGAATAGAGAATAGAGAATAGAGAATAGAGAATAGAGAATAGAGAATAGAGAATAGAGAATAGAGAATAGAGAATAGAGAATAGAGAATAGAGAATAGAGAATAGAGAATAGAGAATAGAGAATAGAGAATAGAGAATAGAGAATAGAGAATAGAGAATAGAGAATAGAGAATAGAGAATAGAGAATAGAGAATAGAGAATAGAGAATAGAGAATAGAGAATAGAGAATAGAGAATAGAGAATAGAGAATAGAGAATAGAGAATAGAGAATAGAGAATAGAGAATAGAGAATAGAGAATAGAGAATAGAGAATAGAGAATAGAGAATAGAGAATAGAGAATAGAGAATAGAGAATAGAGAATAGAGAATAGAGAATAGAGAATAGAGAATAGAGAATAGAGAATAGAGAATAGAGAATAGAGAATAGAGAATAGAGAATAGAGAATAGAGAATAGAGAATAGAGAATAGAGAATAGAGAATAGAGAATAGAGAATAGAGAATAGAGAATAGAGAATAGAGAATAGAGAATAGAGAATAGAGAATAGAGAATAGAGAATAGAGAATAGAGAATAGAGAATAGAGAATAGAGAATAGAGAATAGAGAATAGAGAATAGAGAATAGAGAATAGAGAATAGAGAATAGAGAATAGAGAATAGAGAATAGAGAATAGAGAATAGAGAATAGAGAATAGAGAATAGAGAATAGAGAATAGAGAATAGAGAATAGAGAATAGAGAATAGAGAATAGAGAATAGAGAATAGAGAATAGAGAATAGAGAATAGAGAATAGAGAATAGAGAATAGAGAATAGAGAATAGAGAATAGAGAATAGAGAATAGAGAATAGAGAATAGAGAATAGAGAATAGAGAATAGAGAATAGAGAATAGAGAATAGAGAATAGAGAATAGAGAATAGAGAATAGAGAATAGAGAATAGAGAATAGAGAATAGAGAATAGAGAATAGAGAATAGAGAATAGAGAATAGAGAATAGAGAATAGAGAATAGAGAATAGAGAATAGAGAATAGAGAATAGAGAATAGAGAATAGAGAATAGAGAATAGAGAATAGAGAATAGAGAATAGAGAATAGAGAATAGAGAATAGAGAATAGAGAATAGAGAATAGAGAATAGAGAATAGAGAATAGAGAATAGAGAATAGAGAATAGAGAATAGAGAATAGAGAATAGAGAATAGAGAATAGAGAATAGAGAATAGAGAATAGAGAATAGAGAATAGAGAATAGAGAATAGAGAATAGAGAATAGAGAATAGAGAATAGAGAATAGAGAATAGAGAATAGAGAATAGAGAATAGAGAATAGAGAATAGAGAATAGAGAATAGAGAATAGAGAATAGAGAATAGAGAATAGAGAATAGAGAATAGAGAATAGAGAATAGAGAATAGAGAATAGAGAATAGAGAATAGAGAATAGAGAATAGAGAATAGAGAATAGAGAATAGAGAATAGAGAATAGAGAATAGAGAATAGAGAATAGAGAATAGAGAATAGAGAATAGAGAATAGAGAATAGAGAATAGAGAATAGAGAATAGAGAATAGAGAATAGAGAATAGAGAATAGAGAATAGAGAATAGAGAATAGAGAATAGAGAATAGAGAATAGAGAATAGAGAATAGAGAATAGAGAATAGAGAATAGAGAATAGAGAATAGAGAATAGAGAATAGAGAATAGAGAATAGAGAATAGAGAATAGAGAATAGAGAATAGAGAATAGAGAATAGAGAATAGAGAATAGAGAATAGAGAATAGAGAATAGAGAATAGAGAATAGAGAATAGAGAATAGAGAATAGAGAATAGAGAATAGAGAATAGAGAATAGAGAATAGAGAATAGAGAATAGAGAATAGAGAATAGAGAATAGAGAATAGAGAATAGAGAATAGAGAATAGAGAATAGAGAATAGAGAATAGAGAATAGAGAATAGAGAATAGAGAATAGAGAATAGAGAATAGAGAATAGAGAATAGAGAATAGAGAATAGAGAATAGAGAATAGAGAATAGAGAATAGAGAATAGAGAATAGAGAATAGAGAATAGAGAATAGAGAATAGAGAATAGAGAATAGAGAATAGAGAATAGAGAATAGAGAATAGAGAATAGAGAATAGAGAATAGAGAATAGAGAATAGAGAATAGAGAATAGAGAATAGAGAATAGAGAATAGAGAATAGAGAATAGAGAATAGAGAATAGAGAATAGAGAATAGAGAATAGAGAATAGAGAATAGAGAATAGAGAATAGAGAATAGAGAATAGAGAATAGAGAATAGAGAATAGAGAATAGAGAATAGAGAATAGAGAATAGAGAATAGAGAATAGAGAATAGAGAATAGAGAATAGAGAATAGAGAATAGAGAATAGAGAATAGAGAATAGAGAATAGAGAATAGAGAATAGAGAATAGAGAATAGAGAATAGAGAATAGAGAATAGAGAATAGAGAATAGAGAATAGAGAATAGAGAATAGAGAATAGAGAATAGAGAATAGAGAATAGAGAATAGAGAATAGAGAATAGAGAATAGAGAATAGAGAATAGAGAATAGAGAATAGAGAATAGAGAATAGAGAATAGAGAATAGAGAATAGAGAATAGAGAATAGAGAATAGAGAAACGAGAATAGAAAATAGAGAATAGAGAATAGAGAATAGATAATAGAGAATAGAGGATAGAGAATAGATATTAGATAATAGATATTAGATAATAGATAATAGAGAATATAGAATAGAGAATAGATAATAGAGAATATAGAATAGAAAATAGAGAATAAAGAATAGAGATTAGAAAATAGCGAATATAGAACGAAAAATAGAAAATAAAAAATAGGAAATAGAGAATGGAGAATAGAGAATGCAGAAAAGAGAATAGAGAATAAAGCGTCACATTTTACAATACGTAACAGTTGATAAGAAGATGTCCTCCAAAACAAAATCGACATATGCTTTAAATTTTTACAAAAGAGGTAAACCAAGGTGCATATACTTTTCGTTGGACCAACCTGTATATTCAGGGAACATTAAATATTTGCGATTATCGTATTATGTTAGACTTTCCTTTTCACAAATACATTCTAATAATGTCGTAACCATTTTAGTAATATGGGTCAAATTAAAAATTATTTCACAAAATATACAGTTTAATCAAAGAAAGCTTTACATTAGTAAGTACCTATCTACCAAACTTCAATCAGCAAACTGCAAGGAAGTACCCAAAAAACAAATAATGCGTTCACATAACTTTTTATAGATAAAAAGAAATAAAAAACAACCCAAAACTAATCCTTATTCGCTGCTATGAAGACTAGAGATAAGGAGACGAATCGGCATACTCAAAATACGGTCCCAAAAAACGCATGCCAATTGAGCTTCTATAATTAACCACATGGGCTCTGGTACTGCATACGTTGTTCAAAATACATGGCTTCTTATGGGAATTATACATAATTTTGTCAAAATAATAAAAATAAACTTGTTTACAGCTAAATAAAGCACAGAACATACTGTTGTATTTATTTCTAAATTAGTCTTGCATGTTTTAATTGATAAATTATTTAATTTTATCTATATAAAATACAAATTAGGTATGTATGACCAAATTCGAAAAGGTTTTTTAATTTAATTTTGTGGATTTTTTTTTGAATTGAACATATATATATATATATATATATATATATATATATATATATATATATATATATATATATATATATATATATATATATATATATTTAAGAGTGAAATAAAACACAGTTAACAGATTTTTTTAATGTTGTAATATAAGTATAAAGGGAGATTTGGGATTGTACATAGTATAACCTCATCCTTTAATTTCAGCTTTCCCCTTTTTATTTTGCTAACAGTACCATCAGTAAAAATAGTCTCATAATATTTGATAATATCTTCTAAAAAGTATAGAACAGCATCATCTCTAGAAAGTGCTTCATAGGCACTAGGAACGATATATATGCTGCCTCTGTTCTAAACGTTTAGTATCCTATAAAAAACATTTACAATGATAAAATTGGGATAAAAAAAAACAGTAGCAACTCTTTGTCTAACATTAAAACTCTATAAAAAATAAATTTTCTTTTCTAGTAAGTTAAATTTAATGCATAATTATTGTTGTTTGTAAGTCAGCAATTTTATATTATAGAAACTTATAATAAAATAAACTACACTTCTTAAGATACATAAGGTTCTTTCGTTCGTCCCTCTGGGGGTCAATTCTCGACTTTTATTCCCATGGGAAAATTTTATTTTCCCATGGGAATTCAGTTTTCGTATTCTCGACATAAGCGGTGGAATATTTTCCAATGAGAAGTATGGGAAAATATTCCCCTGCTTACGAGCATTCGAAATTGTGTTTTCCAATGGGAATTGTACTAGAGTTTGCGCATTAAAGTCGAAAATTTGACGAAAGACCACGCGAAAGTCTAAGACATAACCAAAGATTATTGGATATCTTGGATTTTTAGTGAAATTGTAGTTAAAACATTTTTTTGGCGTATTTATAGATTGATATTATTTTATTTATGTAGGTATATTATTTTTAATTCTCTTTCACTAAGAAACTGTATAAACTGATTTTCCTAA